CAAATAGTACAATATTCTTACAAAAACTGAGGAGCAAAATGAAATTGTACTAAATATATAGATAGGAATGGATGAAATTTCTAAATTTTAAAATTTATCTTAATTATATTTTATATATTTTCGAGATAGATAATGAATGATGTAATTTTGATGCATAATTGGCTATTATTTAGCTACAATAAGTCTTAATTAACCCTTTCCTTTATGAATGTCATCATTTCGAAAGAATTTATTTTTTATAAAAATTATGATATCTTCTAAAAATTATGATATTATGATTTATCGAATCGTATTGATAATAATTATCTTTTCAATTATCTATGTATAAAGAACAACGATTTGAAACGTTGTAAAAATTGTTATGATTTTATCTATTTTCTTATATATATTTCAGCATAATACGTTAAGAATATATAATATTCTATATCCCTAATTCTATTATTTTATTGACTTTATTGATCATTAACAAATATATATATATATAAATATATGTGGACGTACGTATGGGATATATACTGTTCATAAGTTAAGATGCAATAAATCTTTATTAGATAAAGTAAGTAATGTTATGAAAAACGGAAAATACATGAAAAGCGAAAAATAAAAGCGTAATATAAAAACTAATTATCGTTACAAAGTTTTGTACTTAACGATCACCATTCTATTTCTATAAAAACTAATCAAACATAATGCTTACAATTGTTTTATGATTGGAAAAGCTGTCAATTTGCTCATTCGTTGCATATGTAATCTTAGGCAATGACTTTATTCCACGTGTCACCTAAAGTTAAAGGAACGCGGACGGAAGATAAAAGGGAGCATGAGAATAAAAATGCTCTTTGTACTTGTCTGAAATAAAAATATCTATCTGACGGGTAGAAAATTTGAAGTTTTCGGGGCCATGATCAAAAATAAGATTTTATTGAAGAGAAGAATTTATGTTTTGGAGAGCATATTATATAGACTTAATATATTATTGGTATTTATAATTATAGGCAAATCAGTTTAATACTATATAGGTTAATACAGTATTAGTAAGCAAATATTAAGCAAATTTATATAACTAGAGTTTTTATAGAAAAACTATGTTTTTCTAAAACAATGATAATTATGAATATTATTCTTACTTGATATTATATATTATTTCTGTGTCCAAGCAGAAATATATCATAAAAATGTATTTGTAAAAATTTATTAATAAATCGATGCTATGTTTAGTATTTGTATAATATGATTTTTAATACTCAAAAACTATTGTTACATACTTAACTTATGCTTTATAATGTTTAATAGAATAATAAAAACTAAATATAATGAATATTATACGATATTTTGTATATAATTTTATGGGACAATTTGAAGCGTATATTGATTATAAATTTTATTCATAATATTTGCAGATCATATTCTACTATTGACTTCTTTAAAATGTTTTATGAAATGTTCTTTATAAAAAAAAATTCTTTCTTCAAGCAGTATTTGTAACTTACAGTATATGTAAAGAGATAATTTAGATTTAGAACGAAATAGTGCAGAAGTTGTGATTATAACATAGTATTTCATTTTTCTTATATTATAGTAAAAAAAGAGAAAAACAAAACAAAACAAAACAAAACAAAAATTGACGTTTAAACGTAAATAAATCAGACATAAATGAAAACATGAATTCTGCTAATGAAATTTTTAATAAAGTAATGGATGGTATATACCTCGACACAATATTACATATTAGAAATTAAATTAAAGCATAAATGTGAAAAATTCCAGAAATAAGTAATTTATTAACTAATAAAGTATTTATCTAAATGTTGGATTTTGTAATCTACAGTATAATGTTATTCATAGTGCTCTTCTATTCGTTTTAAACACATAAACTTTTATAATACAAAGGAAATAATATAAATATTAAAGTATATATAATACATGGAGAATATGTAATGTAAGACAAATTGTATAAGTTATGTATGAGTCACATTAACACGAGTCGCAAAAGTTTTATACAAATTTCAATAACTAAATACACCATAAAAATCACAGCAAAATATATAAAACTTCGATAGAAATTATCGGGATTAAAAAAACTAATAAATTCATTAAATTCGTAATAGAGAGATCGCGTAAAATTAATAATTTTAATACATTATTAAAAGGACAAATAGTAATTCTATTCTTACGCTGGTACGATCATAAACTTTCATTGGCTGTATAATGTCAAAAATTTAATAAAATTGATTCATTATAATTGATGCACAACAGTATATAACAAATATATAAATTAAAACTTTAGAAATACGTTTGAACACAGTAATGATTTGTATTTATAAATTTTGTAATTAAATAGCTTTATAAAGTAGTAGATAATTTATTAGAAAATTTGATTTCAATCTATTTTGACGAGTCAGTTAATTCATCTAAAGACGACAGTTAGATAATAAGCTAATTTTACATGATATAAATATCAAAATAATGTTCACACAAGAGTTGGACGTAACGGAGTGTTTATTCGCATTAACATTGTCAGAGATAATGAACTTAAGGTGCTTATCAGAATTAGAGACGATGAAAACAAAATGAAGAATCTTTTAATTATTCACAGCAGTCGTAACTTTTTAATCGAAAGATTTATTCGCTCGAGTGGAACCAACGCTTTAGCAGACTCGTTTTCTCCTACTATCGTCTCTTCCGCCTTGGCCGGACGTCGCGTCGCCCTGCGTTTTTGAACTTTGTCGTGTCGCGAATTCATTAGCGCTCATCCACCCTCGCCAAAGCTATGGGCAACGACGGCGACGACGGGGATGGAGGCGAAAGTACGAGCGAGATCGGGCACGGAGTACGGTGGCAGGAGAGGGGGAGGGGACGGTGGAGACGGAGGGACAATGCGTTATGCGTCGTTGATTTTCTACTTTGCTAATTTTTAAAGGCAACTTCATTCTTTTGTTGGCACCTTCATTTAATCAATGGAACACGTCGGAATTGTTTATCAAAGTGTGTGACTACGTTTAAAGGCGGTCCGACGCTCCATATTTTTGCACATGTTTACATGCCCTTGAGGGTTCTTTATGAGGCTTTTTACGGGAAATTTTTACTTATTCTGTCATGCTTGAGTGAATATGCGATGATAATACCATGAAAATAGGCGGGATAACCTGGCTTTTTCGCTTTGATCTCTATCTCAAAAGCCACTATAGAGTGTCGCGAGTTTTTCAATGTCTGCTCAACGCTTCGAATATCGAAAGCATTCGTACGATTCGTGATATTAAATTAATTTCCACCCACTGGTTTATTGCGAATACTTCATAATGCGAAATGTATAAATATTCGAGAATTATAGGCACAATTTTCTGCAGCTGTTATCATAAATATGAAAGCGTAGGTGATTTTACATATTCAAGTTATTGCGTTATTAATAAGAGTTTTCATAAAAGTGCGAATAAAAAATATCTTATTAATATTGAAAATTAAATTACGCTTATATTAAATGTAATTCATATAAAAATTTATACATATATTTTTTGAAATTTAGAAGCCTTATATTTACTTATTATAATAAATACATAATAATAAAAGAAATATTTCATAGTTCATTCGCTTACAGTTTACTTGCTTTCTCACAACTATACAATGAAATATTATACCAGACATTAGAGTAACAATGTTTCAAGTACTTTGAACCGACTAAACATAAAATGTTCTCTTTATTTATGACCAATAAACAGTTCAAGTTGCACTTCCCATGTAACAGTGTATATTAAGTTTTCTGTCTATTATCGAATCATTCGGGTAAACATTAACTGAATATTCTTTTAAACAAATATCTACATCCATACATATCTATGTATATTTATTTATTTATTTATTTATTCAACTAAGTATCAAATTGGTTTAATAATCGATATTCGCTTTATTCAGTAAAATATATATTATATCTCTAAACGTCTTTCATTTATCCTAAATACACAAACTAAATCTAATATATTCCACTAAATAAATATCGTTATTTTAACTTTATCTTCAATTATATTTAATTTTTGTCTTATTGTATTACTTTTAAGAGTCATGTTTATTTTCCAAATTATATTTGAAAATGTATAGATTTCATTTTTTATAGAAGCAAGCACGCGCTCACGCACACACTCATATATATATATATATATATATGTGTTTGTGTGTGTGTGTGTGTGTGTGTGTGTATGTGTGTGTGGGTGTCTGTGTGTGCGCGCGTATGTGTATATATAATAAGAAAATACTTAATCATAAGTTTGCATATTATATATAATACAAATAACATTATTGTGAAATATAAGTCAGGCATGTTGCAGTAATCTCTCTCTTTCTCTCTCTCTCTCTCTCTCTCTCTCTCTCTCTCTCTCTCTCTCTGTGTATGGATGACATATAGTGCAAAAACGCAGACTATACGTTTTTACATACACTTTCAAATTCAAGTATCATAAATTTTCAAACTATTGTTCTACAATTCTCAAAAGTTTCGAATCCCCAAATAGTCTCCCAAAGTTTCCAAGTTCATAACATCCTTTTTGAATAGTTAGATTATATCGTGCAGTGTTCGTCCCACTGGTGACGTACGATCGCATTATCATTCGACTCTACAATAATCATAATAAAATTTGCATTCCTCTCCACTCCTTTACATTAGCCAATCGAACTGCACTAATTATGATTGTCGCTAAAGATCAAAAGGACTTTTAACAAGGTCGTCTCTCATTACGTAACAAACAATCGATAACGAAGTAGCCCGTTATTTAAAATATGCGTCGATAATTATCCTCGTGAATCAATAAGCTCTCCCTCGATAATACACGCGCTATTTGCGCAATAATCCATTGGATAGTCGATATAATTTAACGTTGGTAATTAGCGATGCTTAAGACCTACTTTATCAAGTCGGTAACGCCTGCGGCCCCGTCCTTAACAGGCGCTTATCCTCACACATATTCATCAACGACTCAACTCTACATAACTGTATCTTTGTTGTTTCGCAGGCGTATATCTCGTGTGCCCTGGGGGTGCATAGGGTCGGCTACGTGATGATCTGCTTCGGGGTGGTGAACGCCGGCTGCTCCCTGTTCTTCGGCTCGATGATGAAGTTCGTCGGGAGGCAGCCGCTGATGGCGTTGGGGGCCGTCGTGCACGCGGCCCTCATTGGCGTACTCCTCATCTGGCGACCGCACCCTGATAGCTCCTATGTCTTCTACACGGTGTCGGGATTCTGGGGAGTTGGCGATGCGGTCTGGCAAACCCAGGTTAACGGTGAGTTTCGCCGCTCTTTCGCAGCACACTCGTTGGAATTCCGACGATCCGCGGCCGTCGTTGCCGGCGAATTTACGCGGGTTCGACCGCTCATTGCCCGTCTTACGTAATCAAGATAGATATGTGGATTGGGTACGCCGTGGATATGTACGCGCTTCGGCAAACATTTGCGCCCACGGGATCGTGTACTCTTACGGAACAAAGCGATGGTTCAAAGTCGAGCATGGATCCTCGAGCGCCAGCATCTTTGAATTTCGATAGACAGAGAGAGAGAGAGAGACAGTATTATATCTCGCGAGCTTTTACCGTTTTAGCGAATGCGGCGCTTTAATTGAAATGATTCGCCCTGGCAAGTATTAAAGTTTTGAGGCACTTGTAGGTGCAATAATGATGTTTGCTTATTAACTTATAAGGAACTTTGATGGTTACGTGAATTATGTGCCAATTATCATCTATAATAAAGTGAACAAGACTAGATAAAGAAAGACGGATTAATAACGACGGTGGAGGAGAAATAATGAGTATGATTATTGAATGATATATATATATATATATATATTAAAAATTGATTTACAATACATGCGTTCACGTAGCTTTTCATCTTTATTTCATAATAAATTCTTATTCAAGAGCTTATTAAGGACATTTATGCAATATTGTGCGAAAGATTGACTCTCGTTACAACATGGAAATACTATTTTCTATTCTATTTTCCAAAAAATTACGTGAACGTATTTAAAATATTCATGAAATAGTGAAATGTAAATATATTTACATAATGCTTTGCCAAATTATTAATATGCAAATATAGCCTTCAAAAATATTCAAATGAACGTAAAAAGTTCTTTTTAATACGGCTAAACAAAAAAGAAACTAAGAACAATTATTATAAATGCTGGTAACCTGAATATGTGACAAAGAAGAATGTACAACTAATTAGAAACGTCATGTACGATTATTTAAATTTTAAAATACAATTTGTTTCAATTTTTAATTTTACTCGTAAATAGTAAATATTGCAGCGAAATTAAAGTATTTTCATTATAAGAAAGTCTCAAAATAGCTTGTTTGCTTTCAATATTCAAATTAGTATTCCTTAACGTACGTTGAAATTTTCAAATTTTATAAGCTACATCGTAGCATGCAACGTATTAGTTACAATTGTTTTTTTTTTTTGTTTTTTTTTTCTTTTGTTTCACAATCACATGTTATATTTTAATATAAAATGGAATTGAGAATTTGTAATATTTATTTGTTCCAATATTAAATCATTACGTCATTACGACACATTTTAATTACTACATTCATTCCTACTTGATCACTGCTGAAACAAAATATTTGAAAATGTTGATTGAAAAATGTATAATTATGCATTTCATGTTATTATTTTAAGCGACGACTTTTTCTCTACTAACTGACATAGTTTCACTTACCCAACTAACATTATGCGTCTCTCTATGCTCAAACTTAATTATCCATTCTCAAATGCACATACAAAATTCGAGAAAAATGGAACTTAAAAACGAAACAACACAAACGCTTTTAATAAAATCTCAACAAACTCGCTCTCGATCGTTCCCCCTAACTATACTCTCGACCTAATGATAGTAAGAACTCGCTTCGTCGTGCTGATAATACGTACAAACAAGTGAGAGTGGAGACGGGACAGTAAGAGAGCGCGACACAGTGCACTTGCCAAGGAAAATAGCGCAAAATGAGAAACGACCGCGAACTCCGAGCGTAAGGAAGTGACGTCGGGAGGGCCGCAATATATAACGATCTCAGATACAGGACAACCCGTTTGCGCGAGCAAAGGGAAGCCGAGGATGATAAGCCGACGAGGGTCCAGCCAATACCTGATAATCCGCCTCGTGATCGAAGATTCCACGGAGATTAAACGAGCTGCGGTCGGATATGACAACGCAATCGATCGAGTCGGCACTTACGCACTTTGATTTTTCGCGCACACAACGACTACCTAAGACCCGTTTCCGAAACCGGATCTGCCTCCCATCGCAATGGCGCTTCTCCCCGTTTCTCTTCCATTTGCCTCCTTTTTGTCCTGCACTTTTTCGGACGCTATATACACGTGATTTTCATGCAAATCGAGACTAATCCCATGACCGCGCTCCTTCTCCACTATGTTTTGCCACGTCTTTCCTGAAGAATGTAGCCCGTTATTATGTGTCCCCTCCTCGTATGCTCTTCATCAGCCCCTACATCGCCAATTCAGTCCCTCAATGATCAAGACAACGACGACAATGACGACGACAACGATAATGATTACTCTTATAGAAAATAAAATTGGCATTTCTTTTCTCAACTTTGTGTATCGCTAATGTCAAGTATCGTCTTTAATCAACATATATATCGAGCGTCTCGGACTACTTGGGTACACAGATTTCCAATTATTTACATTCAATCACGTACTCATTCTAATACATTCAAATTGCTATATTTTATGAAGAAATAAAAGAAAAATCTTTTTCTTTTTGCCAAATCTAAAGAATCTTTTAAAGCTTGCACAATAAAGCAATTTCTTTGTCTTCTAATCTGTTAATTGTATTTCGTTACTCAAATTAAATGAGTACCTACTAATTATAACTCAAATGTTGATTTATAAGCTCTAATGGCCGAACACGTTTTGTCGTGTGCACTTTCAAGACAAATAAAACAAACTTTATAATACCCGTTGAATTTAAATATCAATAAATATTCAACTAACATATTATTTTGTAAATGACTTAAAATCAGTATTTTACACACACACACACACACACGCACGCACGCACAAACACACACACACACACACACACACACACACACACATATATATATATAATTACTTTGCGTACAATTCGATCAATATGAATGTACATCGATAATATATATTTAAAAGCAGTCCGTTAGAGTAAAAGACATGGAATATTTTGCAAACATTATAAATGATAATTATAATTATAAAGTATAATTTAACGAACGCATATTTTAGCATAAAGTAGCAAGCAAGCAAACATTATTCTTATTTAAAAAATTTTTACAGGTAATATTCAATAAACAAGTACAAATATTATTTTTATTTTATTATTACTGTGCTTTGTATGATACTGTTCAATTTATAATTACACGTCTATATTATGATTAAGAACAAATTTATTATTGTTGAATTATATGATAATAGGAAGCGTTTGTTTTATTTTATTTTACTTTTTTTTTTTACTAATCTAATGCTTTACCAGATGAAAAGAGTCGAGAAGGCACACTTATGAATCGTATGTCTCCTCGACAATACAATTATTGAAATAATATAATCATTGTTAAATTTCTCCGCAATGATTGTAAAATTATTTGAAATTAAGAGAAATTATTTGACGCATTTAAGACACATAAAATTATAATTGCTTATTATTACATATTCGTAAACCATAAACTTTCACTATATACTCGTGCAAATAATAATTTTATTTTCGCCCCCCGATTGCTCCCCTACGCTGTAGCGCTAAAGTGTAACATTTTTATTTCCCTCGTTTTCCTTCCTCTCCTGTTAACTAAAAACAGAAGGAAAGCCGGCTTTCCTTAATGCATGGAGATCCTCGCACGCTCCAGCTTTGAAAATTCATTGAGCGCACTGAGCAAAATAGTAGAGGAGCTTCGGCTGTAAAAATATCCGCGTGTGCCGCGAGGGGAATTCAATTATTGTTGCCTCAGCGAGTGAGAGGGACAATCCGAATGCCAGTTAATTTAGAAAGTCTGGAGCTCCGACTGGTGCATCGATGTTACGTGCAAGTTCATCAGTACAAGCTACGCGCATCCTTCCTGTTCTCCACTGTTGTACAATTGACAAGTGTACAAAATACATGAAAGCAGAAGAGAGTTAGTAGTTGTCGATTTGTGAAAGTTCATCGTGCATCATTTATCCTTGGCGGACGTCTCCACCCTTATGTTTGATCAAATTTTGAAGATTTTCCATGGGGCAAAGTGAAAGAACATCTTCTTCCTTGATTGTCCTGTAATAAAGCTTTATAGTTTACGTGACTTTCGTGCTAATGGGAGGAGGCAAATTAAATTGTGATAGTATTTGCAAAACAGGTAGAAACGAGTGATGTTTAATCACAGTTGTCTGTGTAGTAGGTAAATTGTAGTGTGCAATTGATAGAAATGTTTGATTAAAATCAAGATCAAATTTAATTTTAATTCGATGACTTTTATATCGTTTTAATATGGATGCGCCCTTATAAGGAATTTTAATTTTATTTTAATTTTATGTAATACCCATTAGTGTAGCTTGTAAGAAAAAAAAAAATTTCCTCACAAAAAAGACAATGAAATTTCTTTTAAGCTATTTAATATTAAAATTAATGAATACATTTTTTTCTTCACTAACCTATTTAAACTTCATAGAATTATATATTACTATTTTACCTTTACCTTCTGTCGAGTAAAAACTTATTTTGTGAAATGTTTCACTATGCACCATATTTCAATTAGAAAAAAGAATGTAAAATTCAAGTGTATTTATTTGAAAGCAATTCTAAAGGAACAAAACTAAATTCCCGCTTTTCTTTAATAAAATATACATTTTCTTACGTTTTCATCTATTTCAATACATCTATTTATCTTTAAATTTAATCAATTTTTCGTTCTTTTACATTTATGATTATTTATAAAAATATTTTTTAACATATTAATAATATCTATAATATTAAATGATTCGAACTTGTTTTTATTTTTTATAAAGTATCTCTAAATCATAATTTCAAATTAGAAAGAAAATTTGCGTACACTCATTACAGAAATATATAATTTGTATAATTTACTAAAATATTCATAAAATTTGTGATTTATATATTTATTGAATACTTGATAATGGAAGTTAAAAAAGAAGATAAAATTCTTTTTACAAAAAGATAATTGAAAGAATAATTAAAAATATTTGTCGGTAAGTGACACGAATGACAGATACACGCAAACAATAAATTTACGTTTCTTTTTTCTTTTCT